CAGTTCACTGCTATACAATGAATCAAAACTGCAGCCAAAGATATCATGCAAAAAAATCCGAGACAAAGATCGTGGAGGTTTAACCGGTACAACAGAGTAGACTTCAGCTTCCTCTGTTTGTCACTGCGTGTTTTGGAAACATCAGTTACCTGAACTGAGGTTCCAGGTATACTTCCTAGTAGTGATACTGCTGAAAAGTGGAATGGCATATTCAAGAAACAAGCTTACCCAAACCACTGTTTTAATTTTTCACAGTAAAAAAAGGACAGTGTCCTGCAGGAGTTGCAAGTAGTAACAGCTAATGGGAAAGAAATGCCTCAGGTGAAAGCAGAAATATGTCTTTTTGAGCCTGTTGCATTTCAACAGGATATAAAATATTTTATATAAATTCAAAATGTTGCTGTGGGTGTAGTTTTGATTCTTAATGTGTATGCTATTGCTAGGCTAAAAGCTCAGAAAAAGCTTAAAATTCCATGGTTCACTCTGCTGTTGAACTTTATTTAGCTGAGTGGGTGAAGTGAACAACACATGCACATAGATTGATTAGCAATCATTTTTGTGAGCAGTAATATTGCCCAGCCATCTGCTGTGCCATTACAAGGAGAGTGATCTTGATGGATTAAATGCTAGTCACTTTTAATATAATTTCTTATACAAGAGTCAGACATATTCAGTGCTTTGGAACAATGCCGACCTGATGATGTCTAAAGAATGAAAAATACACCCTGCCTGTTGAGTTTTCATCTTAGTTTCTTTTTAAACACAGTGCAGTTTTCTCCCTACTGTAATAACTACTGTATGGATTGATGAAAGTTCGGTCATCTTAAACTGGTAATATCAGTGGAACAAGTTGATTCTTATTATAAGATCCACAGGATGGGATTAAAAAGGATGGATGTTCCTTGGTTTTCTTTGGAATAAACATATTTTTGTGTTTTGAAACCCCTTAAAGGATATGTTTTCAGTGATTAGTGTGGATTCCACATTTCCTTTTGTATCTCTGGGCTTCAGGTGATGTAGTCTCTACATTTATGTTTACTCTGAAGTCCATACAACACTTTATAGTATCCTACCACTATAGTTACAGTCTCACAACATCTGGAATGGCTCCCAGTAATCTCTGAGAGAATGAGGAAAGGAAAACATAGTGTTCCCCAATTCTGCTCCACTATAAAAAAACATTTTTCAGAGTCTGTTTTATATTCTTTTCTGAAGCTCAGTCCTAGAGAAAGATTTCCTACAA